ATGGCCGTCGTGAACCGAATTCTCAAAACCCGGTGGTCTACTTTCATGTCTGATAATGTCCACCTGAGAAACTCTTAATTAAAAATACTGTTCTAGCTGAAAGAAGGGGTACGCTGTTGTGGTGTACAAAATATCAGTTGACAAATAGCGAGAAATATTGTTTTAAACAAAACGAAAAGTATTATTCCTTGGCCGTAGACAGATAGAGTTAAAAATAATCGCCTTTTCATTAGTTCATTGGCCGTAGATCAAACCATTAAGCTCGAGTGCTTGTCCGGAGAACAAAAGAACGCTTATGGACAAGAGGGTTTTCTAGACCCCTAGAGAAAAAACAACAATGGCGGATACTGCAATATTTCGTCAACACTATTCGGATGTCGATCAAAGCGCGTGCTTCCAATTTTGTAATCCGTTTAATAGTCAACGATTGGGTGATGAGGGCGATAGTTGTGTACTCTAGTAATACATCACGCAATCAACGAGTAATTATAATGGCTGTTGACGGGAAAAAGGATGTAACAGAGGCGGCGTATGTGTAACGAAATATAGTAGTCACATCGCAGTGATCCTTTTCCAGTCGAACACAATGAACGTCATCGTCTGGGGGGTTGACAGAGATTGATTCGAAACTATGGATAGATTTATTCATTAGGCTGAAGCTTTCCCTGCCGCCCCCGGGGTGTGATTATAAGGTGCAGGGTATATAAAAGAGCAGGCCACAGCCGCGAAATTTGTTGCGTTTCGGAGAAATAAATTCGACAGAAGGAACCACAACAGGAGAGAGTGCACACAGAGATTTTATTAATGATTCAACGGCTCGCAAACTGACAGCCGCTGCCGCCGCCACTGTCGAATCATTTCTCACCGACACTACTGGAAACAAAAGCTCTTTTCCATTCTCTTCGTCCACACAACACACCCCGTGTCTTTATGTGCGCCGACTTCGTTTTAATTCCCACCCCTGACATATTTCTCCTCCGTCGCGCTATCATTCTGCATTTATTTTCCTGTACCACCAGTGTAGTAATCACGACCGAACCCAAAATTGGTTTGTGTTCGAAAACAGACGATGCCACTGTAACTGTCGTCTACTCCAATATTATATTTTGCAAATGATTTGGTATTGCCAAAAATATTAAGGACATTTTGAAAATCTTCTTTCTATAGTTTTCTTTATATATTAATTTGAAAAACGTCATAATAATCACATGAATGTAGTATTACTATGATTTATGGGGCTAACGAACTAAACTATTTTAACGCATCAATAACAATTAACAATTGACTAATACATCACTAGATAGTTTTGATCTTATAACATTTGTTACGAAAATAAACAAGGTTTTTTCTACACAAAAATATATACGGTGAAACATTATTTATTTTGGTCGTGATTTGAAAATATTTAATTTTGTTAAAATTGTTCTTAGTAGTGAAACATTTGTACATAAAAAAAGCAAACGACAGAGTGAACTTATTTTGACTAAGTACGTATATTTATATGCTTTTATATATATATATATATATATATATATATTTTATGTATATATTATTGGTGGAATCGGATTTTACTTTGGGCGTAATCTCGTCGTTGCGTAAGAGACACTTTGGAGGAATTTAATCAACTCGCCAAGGAAAAGACGAGCAACGGATCGTTCAATTACTAGGCGGTTGCGTCGAGCTGTTAAATTATTAACAACAAATTTGGTTAACCACTTTCCCCCTTCCTATTAAGCTACAGGGTGCCAAGAGATTTGTGTTTGTAAAGTTATCTAAAATAAAACTCAAAATTGTAGCGTATACTACCACCTTGTAAATTGAATCGTGAATAATACATACATTATGAAATATAAACGTTCGGTTTGTATAGATTTTTCATAGTTAAGAAGCTATCGCAAAATAAACTGATCGCTCCACACAGAAAATATTTTTCATTTCCTACTTTCTATCGAGTCGATTGATCTAAATAAATATTCATCAGGTAACTACAGGAATTTTCATAGACGTTCGCTTCAAAAAGTAATTTTACTGTAATTGTTTTTGATTTCTTCGCCATTAGTTTTACAAAATAACTTTTCAAATGATTCGAACGCGAATACCTGAGGTTTGGTGCAAGAGAAGTCAATGTCGTTTTAGATAACTTTTGAGAAATGAGTTTTGTTTCCATTAAGTTCTAAATTAATATTCGCCAAAATTGTTTTCAAGTGATTTAAGTGATTTTTGCTGTAGGAAAGTTACTAAATACACAGTTGGTCTTTTACTGAGAAATTTCATGTTTTTTATTGGTGTTTAGTTTATCAAGAATCCTCGGTTCATTCATATTATACTTAGACAATACTCTACATTTCTCAGAGTTTACATGTCGAACACACAATCTCATTTGGTGTGCATGTTTCATTAATAGTATACCGTGTAATTGAAGGTATACAGTGTTCGTGTCTATGAACTGCGTTCAATTTAAACTACCATTATCATGTTCTCAGTTCGATCGTTTTATACAATGTAATCGCTATGGCATATTACATTTTATACTTGTAAAAAGTTTATAACTTTTTAAGGTTGTTTATAATTTATTGTACATGAACGGTACGCCATGTCTAGGGAGTATTGACAATCTATTAAGTTGTTAGTAATTAATTCAAAATTAAACAGATATAAAAAAAATAATAGTCAATCATTTCAAACTTTGTGGTATTAGATAACTTAACAAAGGTTAGTCGCGTTCTTTTACTGTACGGAAGAAAAATATCCCTTGTAGATTTACCGAACACGTTTATGGCGGTTTACTTATCAAGGGCCGCGAAAAGTTTTAAATAATTCTGTGGAATGCATTTCCTTGCGCTACTATGAAGACCGATTTCTCTTAGACTCGTCTGGCGTTTTGTTTTAATTTAACAGCCGTCACCAGGTTATTCGACAGCTAACACATCACAAGGGGATTTAGATATTCATATTAACGTACTGGTATAACTCTTGCCTGGATCATCGCGTCAATTTGTTACATAGGTAGCGAACATAATGGCATTCATTTGTACCTCATTCGCATACAAACGCTTCCTACTTTAATTGAACGATACAGGGCAAGAGGATGAATTACTCAATTACCCAGCCTTTCATCAATCTTCCTAATAGCTAGCCAGTTAGTCTCGAGTTTCCGTGATTAGCAAGGCAAAATGTATAGAGTACTAATTTATTTTGCATTGTTATATTTACATAAAATAACATCGTGCCAAAGTCATTACTGGAATTTTACTCTAAAGTTGACAACATAACCTACATTCTATTTCCAAATAACACATAAGTAAAGATTCGAATTACGACTTAATCAATTTCATGAAAGGGGTAACTTATGAGATTTTATTGGAAAGTAGAATTTGATTGAACAATATCGACGCACTGCGTTCTCGCGTAATCTGTTAAAAATACAATTTTTCTTTTACTGGCAGTTTATAAAATCCGAAAAGAAATAATTTATCGGAAATACCATAAATAATTTTAATCATAACAATAATAATAAAAAAAATGCAGGATTATTTTTTAATCTGGAGTCATTAGGTTGAGCATCCAGTTTACGAAACGTACGTAATGTATACTCGGGGGAGAGTTAAATTCCTGAAATAGCCTTTCGTTATAAAAAATAACCATCTTCGAAATTTATGACGATTTTAAGTTTAAAATAATGGTACACATAAAAGTATATTAGGACAGACGTAACATTTTAAGAGCAAAATGTTCTTTACTAATGAAATAGCTTAGTTTACTTGCACAGGTTTTATGTTAAAAAATAAAATTGATTAAGTAAACCGACTCAATAAAAAAGTTCTTAAGAGAGAAGATTCACAATAGTCAAGTTCAAAATTAACCATAAACTGCGCATTACATTTTAGCACTCGAAAATAGTTAATTTTGATAGATAATCAATATAATAAAAAATAATTATTTTCAAAAAAAAATAATACAAATTGAAAAAACTTGGAAAATTAGTAAACTGTTGAAATGTCATATGATACTATCTGCTAAAAACATTCATATTTATATAATAAAAAAAATTATTTTATTAAATAAATAGATAAAAACATGTTTCTATGTATTTATAAAAATTTAGTAAAAAATACTCTTAAGATTAATTCATGTTATTAATCTGAATCAGGGTTATTCTTAAAAATACCTGTTTAATGCATTAGCAAAAAATTTCAAATGTCCTACAAGACCAATGTATGTTTTGGAAATTTTGGTTTTTTAACGTGTTTAAAACACGGCTTCAAAAATTGCATTTTAAAAACACGACAACCCTGATTAAAAAACATTACAATAAATCGATTTATTTGTTTTTTATTTTTAATTAATTATTATTAATATTAAAAAATTGAAAAGTATCTAATTAGGAAAATTACGTGTCGTTACAAATTCTTAACCGATAATTTATATGATTTTAGCATTTTCATATAATGGCGGGAGGAAAAATATGATTAAAAAATGCTTAAAGTCGCTCATCATCTCCAGTTATATTATATTAAATAATTTCTAAATTATTATTTCAAACGATTTTATCAATCAGGCATTTTTATAATTAGAACATTTTTTATTTTATAAATCATTTAATTAATATTTTTTCAATAAAAAAAATAGAGTTCATACCTTTATGAGATATATGATGAACTGTAAAAGTACTTAATAATTGATAAATCCAGAAATACATGTAACTGAAGAGCCAAAAAATTCCGAAATTATTTTTATTTAAAATGCAATTGAGTGGATTATGATAAATGGATCACTCTGTATAATTATTAATAGTGTAAAATACTATTGCGTGTTTTAAGTGAGTCAAGTTATTGTTAATTTATTTTTTCTAAGTAAACGTGTTTACTCATAATATTTTGATAAATCAAATAACAATTGAAATAAAAAATGATATTGTTTTTATGAATAAAAAATTAATTACGTCAGTGACGACATTATTTGAAACAAATCGTCACAAATAATGGCCGAAATTAAATATACAACACCTGAAGTATATAATGCGATCATTTAAAGTTGTGTTGAATATTTTAAATTTTCAAAATGTTTAAATTTATAAAAAATATAGCGACTCTTTGTTTAATACTTTTAATCGCTTCAACATCGACACACAAGGTGAATTAATATTAATTTTTTATTTTATAATAAGGCCTCTATGAGTTTGTTTAATTGAAGTAGCGTAGAATCTAAAAACTTCTTAAGTATTCTTCAGGGATGGTGATACTTAGTAGTAAATACATTAAAATACATTTAAAGTAAATTGCGTTAAATATTTTGACCTTGATTGCTTGCTAGTTTAATATTTCATTTTTATTTTTTAAATAAAAACATGCAATTAAACTATATGCTATAATGATTAAGACAATTCATTTGATTAAACTAACTCAAGAATAACATTTTTAATAAAAATTGTCTAACCTGAATGAATATTTAACTATTAAAAAATTGTGTTATTAACTACTTTAAATAAGTTTAAACTAATGTTTTTATTTTTATTTTTAGGATGTGTTTTATATAAGTGAAATAGTAGGATTTTATGATACTTTTACTGATTTTAATTTAACCAAACTGAACAATAAACATTATTTTAAACCAGTTAGTAATGAGTGGAGAACACAAAAATGTGAATCATTAGGATTCAAATTTAACAAATCTTCTTCTTTTTTAAAAAAAAATAAAACCACTGACTCATTATATTTATTAACGGAGCTTGATGAACAATTTTTGGTGTATGATGATCGTGAAAACTGTTTATATATGACATTATTACTGGCAATATGCGGAGATAAAATGAATTATTATGATCTCCGTAAAAAAGTTTTAAATGTAATTTGATTCTTAAATTTTTTAACTGTTTTTATAAGTAATAATAAATAATTTTCAATTTTTTAAAAATAAAATAATTGTATTTAGAACATGAGGAATAGTAAAGAGCTTTTAAACTTGATTGGCGAAGAAAATCTTGATAAATATTTGACATTAAAAAAAGAAAAAGTTTTAAGTAAGTTTTTCGGTTCATGATAAGTAAATAAATTTTAGAACTCTTTGAGTATAAATTATTTTATGTAATCCAAGACATCCAATACAAAAATATGTAAACTAATTACTAACTATTTAAAAAAAAAAATGTCATAATCACCAGAAAATTAAATTTTATATATTTTTAACATAAATATGAATTACAACGTTTTCTCGTTGCATTAATTTTTTTTTCAGATGATTATGCTTCAGTTGTTGAATTAATAGCTACAGCTGAATATCTTGATGTATGTATTTATTTATATGTCCCAGCGTTTAAAGAATGGATATTATATTACAAAGACTGGCCAAATTATGAAAAATTTAATATGGAAAATGAGCATTGTTTATATTTAGTTAAAATGGATGTACACATATTTGTTATTGTTGATACAAAACCTGATGTTTCAAAATAAATTATTTTTTGTAATCATACTTCAATTAGTTTATTTTATTTTAAACAGTTTTTCAGCATTTCCAAACAAAAATATATTAAAGTACTATTTTACCTTATCCTTACTTTAAAAACTGTTTAATAAATGCAGTATAACACTAACACTACATGTGCATTTTTACAATAAATTTGCAACATTTCATATAATCATAATATTTGTAGATGTAGACTATGTTCCTAACAGATCACTAACATAATTATTTTTAGTATTTCTTTACGCCTGTTTATATATTATGACTTAATAACATTATACTTTTTTTAACAGCAACTAACAACTTATTAAATTATGCTTATAAAAAATACGCTTTAAAAGAAAATAACTTTTTAGAATTTTGTATTTTAGTTGTAGCTGTTATTTGATAATTTTGCAATTTGTCAAATAATAATAATTATTATACAATGTGATTTATAATTAATACTAGTAATCATTTTTCTGTTAAATATTGTTTCATTAAAAATAAATCAAATTTAAATCTGTATATTGTTATGAAAAAATCATTATTTAACGAAATCGGGGGGTATATTATTTTAAAATAAACTACATCTAACTTTTTAGCTACGATGCGAAGTTGAGAAGGTATTAATTTTACCATGATGTGTTTATTTCTCTATTTTTTGTGTGTGTCTGTCACTACTTTTCCTCAACTCTCACTAGACCGATTTATTTCAATAATACGTCAAAAGATCACAAATGGTATCTAGTAGAAAATGTTTTGAAAATGTTTCGAAAATACTCCAAGCTTGAAACATATGTTAAAATAAAGCTTATGTTGTGTCTTATAAGTTCACAAAATAAAATGGGCCCCGGCGGCTTATCTTCTATGGGAATGTGGCCGTCGAATTTAACGAAAAATATAATTTTTATGTAAAAATCACTGTTTAANTTATTTTTTGTGTGTGTCTGTCACTACTTTTTCTCAACTCTCACTAGACCGATTTATTTCAATAATACGTCAAAATATCACAAATCGTATCTGGTTGAAGACATTACCATCAAAAATTGAAAATTTTGCCTTTGTTCCCCCTTAATGGTGAAAATCACCCAAAAAATACGATTTTTAAAGTCGATAAATTTTAAAATTTTTTTCATTTTTTTTCAAAAAAATACCATAGCTTATCGAAAAATTAACGAATCAAAATAATTCTTTTTGATAAGAACCCTAGATATTATCTTTTCATTTGATATACATTTTTTGAAAATCTGACCCCTTATCTGCCCACAGGGGGGAATCATAAGAGTAACTTCTGCACAATAATTTAATTTTTTCAACTTAAGTTTTGAAAATGTTCCGAAAATACTCCAAGTTTGAAACATATGTTAAAATAAAGCTTATGTTGTGTATTATAAGTTCACAAAATAAAATTGGCCCCGGCGGCTTATCTTCTATGGGAATGTGGCCGTCGAATTTAACGAAAAATATAATTTTTATGTAAAAATCACTGTTTAAACGAAATATTTTAATACTTAAAACTGCTATAGCTTTTTAAAAATGAACAAGCTAAAATAATTTTTTTATATTAAAACATTAGATATTTTGCTTTCATTTGATATACATTTTTTAACAATCTGACCATTTATCTGCACGCAGAAGGAGATTCAAAATAGTAACTTATGCACACAAGTGATTAAAATCCAATAATGGATTTTTATAATTATAATCAAATTTTATAATACGCTCAATTGAGTGGATCTTTCTAAAACATTTTGGTTGGTTCTTTTAGTTAAAGTAAATCATTAAAATTTAGTAAGTTTTAGATATATAAATTGTAGAATCTCTTTAAACTCCAAAAGTTACTTAGAAATTATTACAATGATTTCTATCTAAGTGATCTATTACGAAAAAATGCAAAAAAAATATTGAGCTTTACTGATAAATTTACTATAAATAGAAATTATAACATTTCCCGAATGAATATTAATCTTAACAATACCATTTATTTAATTCACATAAATTTTTATATTTAATGATATAAATTTCAAACTAGCAAGTTGAAATAAAAGTTATGGTAATAACTTTTAGCTTTTTTCAAATGTTAGTACTCATTTTTAACTAGTTATTATTAATATAAAATATTAGTGATGATGAAAAAAATCTAATTGCAGATTTGATATCAGCGCGAAAAATTAGTTTAGAAAAGTATATTTTCGACTCTGATGAAAATATCTCATATATGATTTATTGTGAATTTAGTAGTATGAAATTTAAATATATATTTAATTTTTGTGAACTTAAAAAAAGATACTAATGGCAGTAACAACATAAGCACTTTGGTTACAAAATTTTAAATAAATACAATTTTCACTCTTCATATTAATAGATTCATAATTTGGCCAATCTTTTCGGTGAAGAACCCATTGTTTGTATTCAACTACATATACATAAATGCATACATCTAAGTATTCGGCAGTAGCAAGTACTTCTGTAACCGAGCCGTAATCATCAACTAAAAATAAATCAAGTATAATAAATTGAAAAAATAGATCATTTATAAATAAGTTCCTAAAAAGAATTTTACTACAAAGAACAAATTTTGTTACGGGAACACAAAATGTTTATAAAATATTTTTAGATTAATCTTAAACAATATTACTATGAACTAAATATTTAAAATACATACCCAAATTTCCGTTGTTCTTTAATAATAAGTAATTTTTAAATCTTCTTTCGCTACCAAGAAAGTTTTTTAATTCTTTACTATTTTTTAAGTTCTAAAATTTCAATTAAATTTTAATACAATGCATATAATTTCACTGTATTTTGTTCTATGTTTAATATATTTTTTCATGAATGTTTAACTTACATCAAGAACTTTACCTCGTATTTGTTTAAAATACGATTTATTCCCACAAATTGCAAGAGATAATGCTTCAAAAATACAGTTATTTTTTTGATCTACATCATAAGTTAGTGATGGAATTGTTAATATTTTAGGTAGTGTATTATTGAGATATATGTCATTATCATAAGAACGAAAAATTATTTCATTAAATTGTAATCCTAAAGATTGACATTTATTTTTTTTCCATTCGTTACTGACTGGTCGAAAATAATGATCGTTTTTCAATGGAGTTACTTCAATATTATTAGGCCGATCATCCCAATTATTTACTTGGCTAACATAATACACTGGCTAAACAAAATTAAAGTTTTAGTGAACTTTTTTTTATAACTAAAAGTATTAAAAATAATCAAAAGCTAAAATAATTGATAGTAATTTGTTTTTTTCTAAAGAAAAGATTATTTTATATGTACAAACTATTCAAATTGATGAATAATAATTATTAAAAAATATTATTTTTCAATTAAATCTAATTAATTACACGTCTATAATCAACTAGTTTTACTTATTATAGAATAAATATTAATAAATTAGGATTATGTATTATACCTCTCTCATTTTTACCGAAGAAACAAAATACAGTATAAAAAATATTATATTTATTTTCATACAAATGATCATTTTTTTAATTAGTTTAAAATATAAAATATTTTAAATTTGAATCGAAAAGAAAAATTTTTACTTCTGGTAAAATTAATATGCTTGCCATTCTCTTATAAATTTACATGAGATTAAATACATATTGGAATTTTGTATTTACATTAACACGAATTATTACACTCTAAATTATATTTACCACTTTTTAAAAATGATTAATAATAATATTATAGATTATACTTAGTTATTATTTTGCAGTATTTTTTTTTTTTATAAATTTAACGCTATTAGACACGGTAATTATATAAATTATTAATATTTTTTAATTAAAAAAAAAAATTGATTTAAGAAATTAGGTCAGTCATAAGAACAAAATTATTATGACAAAAATGTTGGAAAATGCGGGTGGGATGACAAATTACCTGATGAAATTTTAAGGGAAATTTAAACGAGCGAGAAAAATTAAAGTGTCTTTGATTATAATTTAATATGATTTAGAATTCATTAATATGTTAATACTAAATTATTGCGCATCTGTTGCTGATGTTTAAATAAAGTAATTTATAAGAAAATTTTACCGTTTATACAATCATAACTATGGAATATAATGGAAGACAGAATAACTGTAGCAAAAATAGAACAAAAGAAATATCTCTATGATGAAATAAAATGATTGAAAAATAAACGAGGCATTATTAAAGGTTAGTTAAGAATAACTAGTCCTTAGCTAGACGGTTCTAAAATGCTGCGTGTCAAAGGACGTTTAAATAACTCGTTATAATTAAATGTTGACCAACGAAATCAAATTTTATTGGCAATATTTTATTTATTAACTTTATTAATTCTTTGTCGAGAAAATAGCCTATTGCATGCTGAGCTACAAGTGTTGCTATCTGCGGTAATAGATAGGTACTGACCGCCCAACGGTCAAAATATATCAAAAGGGTTGTTCATAATTCTATTATTTACTTTCGCTCAAAACCTAAAGCTTTAAGTCCAACAATGGCTAATTTGACTAAAGCACGGACTGAACTTACAAGTATTATTCTAATCTACAGTGTCGATTTTTGTAGCCCCACTCTGATAAAATCGAGTTTAGCACGGAAAGCGTTAAAGGTAAAATGTTACATTTATGTGTTTCTATACAAGGGCTGTAAATGTTAAAATAATCGGACACTTAATTACAGATGCATTCTGGGGAATGGGAAAGATAATTAGATGAGTTGAAAAGGATATTTACGACTCAGGAACACAATCACAACTGATCGATACAGAAAATTTTGCAAATGGAAGCACAGCCTTTTAAAAATAAGAAATTTTCATACCCAATTTCTCCTTAAAATCTGGTCTACAAAATGGTTATATTGAATTTTTTTAAAAATATTTCTTTAATTTTTGAATTTATATTATTATTGTAGTCCAAAAGCATAAAAGTTATGAAATAAAATTACTGCAAAATAGTGACTAAACTATAATTCTATAAGATTTGATAGTGGGACCTTCCTGTATATAACGATCTATACAATTATTTTTACCAATTTAACACATTTGGAATTATATATTAAAGTTTAATATTTGTGTTATTGTAAATAAAAAATTATAATTTAGACGCATGTTAATATATAAATAAATGGTAAGTATATTAATTTTCCCAGAAGCCAATTTTATTCTTTTCGATTCAAATTTAAAATACTTTAAATAATTTTTTTTAAAAATGTCTGTTTTTTTGAAAATAAATATAATTATATTTATACTGTATTTTGTTCCTTCGGTATGGATGTCACAGGTATAATAAATAATCCTAATTTATAAATATTTAATCTACAATGAGTGAAATAAGATAATTATACAATAACATATTTATAATTTTGATTATAGACGTGTAATAAATTATAGTTACATTAAAGAATAATATTTTTTAATAATTATTATTCATCAATATGAATAATCTGTACATATATAATAAACTTTTCTTCGGGAAAAAACAAATTACTACCAATTTTTTAGTACTTCTATTTATACAAAAAAGTTGACTAAACCTTGTTTTTTGTTTAGGCAGTGTATTTTATCAGCAAGGTGAATAATTGGAATGATCGACCAAATAATATTGAAGTAACCCCATTGAAAAACAAACATTACTTTCGAAGATTCAATAACGAATGGAAAAGAAATAAATGTGAATCATTAGGATTCAAATTTAATGAATCATTTTTTCGTTCTTATGATCATGACACAATTCTCAATAATTCAATACTTATACTTTTAACCACTCCATTGCAAAACTACTCAAATTGTTTTGTAGATCAAGATAATAACTGTGTTTTTAAAGCATTATCTCTTGCAATTTGCGGAAATATATCATATTTTCAAAAAATACGAGGCAAAGTTATTGATGTAATTTAATCATACAATGAAAAATCATACTAGAGCATAATAGAAATTCTATACATTTTATATACAGAGTGATTCGTTTATTAAATTCACTCAATTACTTAAACATTAAAATGATTTTTCGGATTTTTTAGTTTTGTATATTTATTTATTTATCAAGTACATTTACGGTTCATCCTATACACCCGAAAAGACGGTAAATTTTTTTTTTTTAATGACCAATTAATTCTTTAAAATAGAAAATACATATTTCATATAACAGAAATAAACTAACTAAGAAAATGACAGTTTGATAAAAAATGTTGGACCAATACTACACACTTTATTAGCATTTAAAATATACGTTGGAAGTGAAACACAGGTTCAATATTTTTATAATTAGACATTTCTGGGCCGCACTCCTCTGCCGCATATGTATAAAAATGTAAACAAATTTCTGAAGAAAGATACGGCCGTGAAACGTCTAATTATATATATTGTCATACCCGTGACATGCTTTCAATCAATATTATAAAATGGTAATAACGTAATAATGGGTTAAAATTGATTATCAAACAATTATCTTAATTGAATCATTCTTTATTTATGTAGCATAACTTTTATGTTGCCGTTTAAAAATATAATAATTACATGCATATAATGTATAAAGAATGAACCAAAAAGTACTTCTACAATTAATAAATCAAAAAATATTTAGATATGCACAAAAAATGAAGTAATAACTCGCTGTTTTTTACTATTCAGATGATCAATAATAAAACTTAATCTCTAATTACATCCTAACTGCTATACATTTTCTATGAACTTGAATTACTTTTCAAATCAAAATTTCGATCTTTTTATTAAATTATAAAAAGAGTAAAAAAAAGATAATCAAATATCTCATAATTTATAAGTTACTGATTTATTTGTTGCGCATAGCAATATTGTAACTAAAAACGGTAGCACAGTGTGGACGTGGTATAGTTGGTATAAGTATAGATGATATCTGATAGTGACTAAAAACACTATCATAAGAAACGCTTCGATACAAATCTGTAAAGAGTGTTTAATTTTAAGAAATTGGTGGCCAGGGATATAGTCTAGTTTTCAATAAATGTATATCAAATAAAAGGGAAATACGTAAATTTTCTATATAAAAAAATTAATTTTGATTTGTTCATTTTTGAAAAAGTTATGACAGTTTTAAGAATAAAAAAATATCAAAATTTGCCGATTTTTAAAATTGTAATTCTTTTGAATATTTTCTTCATTTTCAAGGAACTAGAGACATTTTTTCAATTTTTATGAGCATTGTCTTAAACTAGATACGATTTGTTATCTCTTGACGTATCGTTGAGAGAAATCGGTCTGATGAAAGCAGAGAAAAAGTGGTGATAGACACAAAAAATACATCATAGTAAAGTCAAAACCTTTTCAGCTTTGCATCGAAGCTAAAAGCAAAACAAATGAAATTTTTTTTTATTTATTAAATTATTGACTTGGTTATGATGAATAGATAACTCTGAATAGTGAAATTATACATGTTGTACTAAAATTTAATTGAAATTTTAGAACATAAAAAATAGTATAGAATTAAAAAACTTTCTTGGTGGTAAAAGAAGATTTAATAATTACACATTATTCAAGACGGACGGAGATTTTGGTATGTACTTAAACTATTCGGTTTATGAATATTTATACCTTGCAGTGAACATTTTTTCAGGAGTTTAATAATAATTATATTTATTTGCTATTGTTATACTTGATTTATTTTTTTAGTTGGTGATTACGGCTCGGTTATTGAAGTATTAGCTACTGCCGAATACTTAGATGTATGTATATATGTATATGAAGATGAATGCAATCAATGGATTATTTATCGAAAAGATTGGCCAAATTATGAATCTATTGATATGAAAACTGAAAATTGTATATATTTAAATTTATATAAGCAAAGTTTTCGTATTGTCACTGCCGTTAACACTTATATTTAAGTACACAACGTCATATACATATGTTAAATTTCATACTTCGATTAGACGATAAATCTTTAATAATAATTTGTTGTATTTTAAATCATTTAGAAACGCTCTGACATTTATTAATTTCAATGAATGATGTTATAAATAAACATGATGATTAACTTAATAAAATAAATGATCGAACTTAAAACTATCATTCAATTATTTTAATAATAATAAAATTTGATTATTGTTATTTACTCGTGAATAATATTTTCAATCTTTATCAACTGATTTTTATTCACCATAAGAATAATTTGGATCAATTTTTCGTAACTACTGTAGCTAATGGAAATGCCACATGGTTTCCAAGTTAATGGAGAGATATATAAAAATAATAATAATAATATTAATATTAATAATAATAATACAGAAAGGCAACCGTAGCATAGCGTGTCCTAAGGGAAACGCCTTGTGTGATTTATGCGGTTGCCAGAAATTTATGGTCCACCACCGAAATAGTCGGTGTTTTTATTTTCTCTGGACGTAATAAGAATTATATGTACTAAAATGAATCGATCCAAGCGCTTATATTGAACGGATAGCTGAATAGGATAAAAAAAAAAAGAGTAATTTTGTTTTTACCTCTTCTATCACCACTTCGATAGCTGCGTTCAACTTCAATTACCCATCGGACAGTATTCGATTATTCCTCTGAGATTGATTGTCGCCTACCTCCCATAATTTATACAAGGAATTATAGGTAGTTATCTTCCCCTTTTCTTGGATCGCTATCGAGCCGACAACGGTTCAGTATACACAGAGATTATGCATTTTTTTTTTTGACATTATCGATGATCGATGTCTTAATGTCAAAACCAATATTCTACGACCAAAAAATTCTTATATGTCGACAACGTATTGCAGATAAAAAAGACAAAATTATTGCGAACGTTATAATATTCAACAGCAGCGTTGGTAACGAAAAAAATACATTCCGTAGTAATATTATACTGTAAAGTTAAATTCATTAATATTTTGATATTTTGTCTAAGCTTTAAAATATATCTAGAAATCAAGCGCGAATCTAGAATTTCTTCAAGGGGAAAATAATCTATTAAACATCTAATTAATTTTTTTTTTCAATTTGATTATCNGTTGTCTAAGCTTTAAAATATGCGAATCAAGCGCGAATCTAGAATTTCTTCAAGGGGAAAATAATCTATTAAACATCTAATTAATTTTTTTTTTCAATTTGATTATCCAAAGACTTTATTTTATTTTAGCAGGTGACGATAGTTAAAGGGGAGCCTGCGCCCTCTAATTTCAACGGATTTATTAATTATTTTCCATATCACTTTGTTAGAGACAATTTATTATTAATAAAAAGCTTTTTCGATTTTGATGTAAAATGTTTTTTAAGTAATTTTAAGTATTCATCTATAATGATTTTAGAAAATTAATTTTTACGTCAATAACATTTTCGTCGTTTTTAATTTAATTTTCAGAAAGCGTAAAATGCTAACAGCTTTTGACAATGGCATAACATAACGTCTAACTGTAATTTAATGTATAAATTCTGCTTTCTTTTTAACAAACTGTGTTGTTCTGTGCCTTAACTGCAGTAATGCATTTCAGCATTGAAGGGGAATATAACCACCCTAAACATTCCATGACGTAGAAAAGAAATACATCTATGCATTGTACTTTATAAAATAGTTACTTTTTCATTAATCCGATTGCATTTGTACTTTATTTCAACGATCTACTCTTTCAACTCATGTCACGTGGGACTTAGTAAATTAAAAGGATCGCCAAGATTCATAAAATTAATTTATGATATTTGTCATTAATTTTGTATTAAAAACACTTAACAGAAATGTTTGGATATAAATTTAATTAAATCCTCTTTCGTCAAATTTTACTTATAAAATCCTGTGATGCTCTTTGAAATTAATTATGTATTTTAAAACTGAACATTAAGTCGAGCAAGTCAAAATGAATATGTATACAACACAAGGTTCAATATTACCCTCACACCTCGTATATCCTTCATCAGACTTCAATCGTCAATGCGTTTATTACTACTAGATGTTTGCTGAAGTAGCAGATGTGTAAACGGCAAAACATTATAATAATTTTCGAAGCAGCTTTAACGACGTTTTTATTTCTTCCTCTACACACGCTCACTTGCTACTTATAATAATAATAATAATATTATTATTATACTATGATACGTCTTCCGTTCTTTTTTCTTTTATGTCGCCTATCCCTAAATATCTACTATAATAGAGGAACTAACGTTGATCAGCTGCCGGCAGAATATTTTGAAAATATATAAAAATGGCGGTAGGTAAAAATATCCGTCGTCGATGATCGATCACGGATAAAGTGACAAAAAAATAACAATGAATAATTTAATATTGGATCATCGATTCAATTCTATAGAGAGACCAATGAATTATTATGAAAGTAATGCAAATTTTTGTGTCACCGTCTGTAAATTTACCTCTAGATTTTTTCTTTGTTTCCTTAATCCGTGTAAACAACGTTGATGTTTTTTTTTACTATCTAATGCTAACTGATTCTCTATAGACTAACATATAAAGACAGCCTACGGACTATTTTTGTACCACCGACATCAGAACAAGAGAATAACATTCTGATACTGAATTTATCGTATTACATTATTTATATAATATTCCAAGAAATACATTAAAATCTCATTTAAATTACACGTATGACCTTAATAATAACTATATTATTATAGTATACATAATTTTATCGAATTAAATTGATTACATCAATAATATCTAGGACTAAGCATAATGATAATATGAATTTATTTTTGTGTTTTTATAACTCAAGCTTTTTATTTACCAAAAGACGAAAACGAGTTTTATATATTTGCTATTTTGAAATGAAACTTCTTCAATGTATTTGTTCAAAAATCTTGTATTACTTACCTAAAAAAAAAAAAAAAGAGTATGGTTAATTTATAACAATGCGGTAAATGAAACGATTTGATTAATAACCGTCATTCGGGTTATAATAATTGTTAGCAGTATTGTTGATATTAATTTCATGGTTTATTATGATGATTTATTGATATGCAGGAAGTATAAGTGCATATTTTAGTTTTTATGTAGTGTGAATAATTTTAGTTGGTGACAAAAAAAAAGTAAATCTGATTTGAAATTTATTTTTGCTCTCCTGTACATACATGATCCACAGTAATATTTGTATAATATTTCACTTAAACTATGTTCAGTTTGGAGGAGGAACCACAAGAACATTATACTGTAGCCCCATTTTTTTTTCCATTCGTTTCATCATACAGGGATACATTAGATTGTAAACTTATATCGATTTACGATGCACTTCGTTTTTATTATTTGTATTGTTCCATTACTTACTACTACACGGTAGTCGTAAAAAGACTAGCATTTTTTTATAGAAGCATATTCTATTTTGTAAACTGTAAATATCTTCAATTTTTAGGGAAATTTTTTTAAATAAAAAAATTAATATCAAAACATTTAATTGAGTACGTTTTATTTTAATCAATATTATGGTTTACTTTAAATATCTAACCAAAAAGTGATTTGAATGTTTAATTAAAAATAATTGACTACGCTATTTTCTCAGGAAGTAATAGCTAAAAACAATGTTGGATGGTCAAAATGTAAAAATATAAAATTGTAAGTAAAATACTTTTAAGACCAAAAGCTTCTTATCTATAAAATTAAATATTTAACTTTTGTTTGTTTTTAGTCCATCAATATTATTTCATTAATATTTTATGTTATATAAATAGTTAATTGTAATTAATTTCAAAGGTTGTTCTGTAGCATAACACCACTAAAAAAATATATATTGTAGTTATTAAATTTACATTAAATTAAATTAGAATAATGCAAATTATGGTTAAAATATAAATGTTTTGAGTTGTTAGTCAAAAAAATAATTTTTCAAATAAATTATAAATCATTTTTTGTATAATGAAATGTTTTATAATAAGATTTCTTACACTTTCTATACTATACACTTCTTATTCTTTTTTTTTATTTACGTTTCTTTAAAATAAAACTGCAAATTCTTAACACGTGTAAAGTTTTATACTTTTTATTGGCTCTTAAAGCTTTTGATGAGATATGTACTACCTTTTTTTCGCCGTTCCTTAGAGACGATTACTTAGAATATCTCATGAAGTTTGTTCAATAACTCTGCTTAAATTCATTGAGCTTTATTACTGTTTACTTAACATAGTGAAATAATTTAACTATTTATTAACAAAAGTACCTTTAAATCATTTTTGTCAAATTTCTAATTTATTAATTTTTTTTGTCAGACATAATAGTTGAAACACAAACGTCCTAGTTTTTAAAAAAAGTTTTATTTTACAATTTGCAATTTATAAGTAAAACTAGGTGAAGTAAAATTATATCAAGGTCGCGCAATATTTTAAAATTAATATCTCCCAAAACGTGATATATAATTATGCTTATCACGAACGAGGAACATCGCCGACTAAACATAAATTATTTATGAAAGCTACCATATGGATTTTCTTATAATGTGATTACAGTATCAATAGGAAAACATTGTACCAGTCGACTTGAAAAAAAAATAACCCAATCCTCAGATTCATACAGTAGTCATACGATGTTATCTAAAGGGCGTTGTCCTTTATATGGCCGACACGAAATTCGTGCTAACATCCGAAAACCGATTTCGATGATGTCTCCCCAAGTACTTCCCCAGGTGCTCCCGATATCGACTATACCACAGCTGCCTATGTATTATATAATTGGATTATACCGGTCGTTTTTCGAGTTAATAAATTTTTGTGCGACTGACTTGGGTTACGATGAAAGTCATGGGCATAGCGCTGGGCACCTGACCTTACACTTGCGTGTGTCATTCATAATCAATGTTTTTTAACGTCACAGCAACGCTTATATATCCCGTGATGGATTTTAAGTCGGAAACCGCACATTTTTATCGCCGACCCAATTGTTGTTTCAAAAACACAATTGATCACGCCAAGTTCTTGACCCTAAAGACACACACGGTGTTTAGTCTTTGAGTTACACGGTTAAAAAATTCAATTTAGATTTATCAAAAACATGAAATCTCTTCCCAAAAACCATTTAATGTTATATTAAAACTGAATATAGGACTTAAATATTTTTTTAT